TACTCCAATCAAACTACTACCTGCATATAGATCTGTCTCCTTGACTGCGCTGAACATGTCAAAACGGGACTTTTACTCATCTATTTCCCAGTGTCTAGTCTTTAGCAAGGATCTAATCTTTGCTGAATGAAAGAGAGTTTGTACCCAAAACACTCTACGGTCTTATCAGGTAGAGACAAGTCTGAGTAACACATGAATTTTTTTGTCCATAAAAATGTTTATAAGATTTTTTTCTTACAAACTCTTGTTTGAGTAGCTGTGTTTTATATCAGGATGCTATTCACCTAACCTCAAATGACAAGACTATCAGCTCACTAGTAACTGTGGCTATTGATAAAATAGCAAATCACTCTTTTTGGCTCAAATTCAGTGTTTGGAAGTTCACTTAGTTCCTCGGGGTAAAAAAACAGCACCTACAATAAAACTGTTTACTCCAGGTCACCATCCTCCCCACCGCCCCCCCGCCTTTTTTTTTTCAACTGCTTCTTGTATGGGCTTCCCTGGTAGCTCAGCTGGTGAAGAATCAGTCAAAGCAAATGGGTGGATACAAAAGCATGCACATGATTCAATAACTAGGTGCTTTCTTCAAAAGCTTTTCATTTACAAGAGGATCAAGCCTGGCAGGCTACAGCCCAGCCCATCGGGTCAAAAACAGTCAGACACAACTGAGTAACTAACACAACAACAACAAGCTAAATAGAGCCTTAGCATTCCATTCACAATTAATTTGTCGTGGGGATTCCCTTTAATCTACACATTTTCTTAGGGACTTTTCTTATGTGTAGGAACTATAGAACTAGAAAGTTCTTTCATGACAAGTCAAAGATATTGCCATTGTTGTCTAATGTACAGAAATTCCTTGGTGGCTCAGATGGTAAAGAATCCACCTGCGATGCAGGAGACCTGGGTTTGATCCCTGGGTCGGGAAGATCCTTCGGAGAAGGAAATGGCAACCCACTCCAGTATTCTTGCCTGGAAAATTCTGTGGACAGAGGAGCCTGGCGGGCTATAATCCAAAGGGTTGCAAAGAGTCAGACACAAACAAGCAACTAACATCTAACGTACAACTCAGGATCTCAGGCAGGCTGAAGGGGAACGAGAGTTTCCAGGCTAGCAGTGTACACCTTTTCTGAAACACCAGAGTACACACCAAAGTTGTTGTTGTTCAGTTTCTATACACCCAAGTACCACGGTATGAAAACCCAGCAGAGGTCCTCCTCTCGTGAAAATTCCCTTGACAGATACCCTCAGTTCCTCTTTACAACTCTCATACCATTTGAAATTCATTGTCTAATTCCCATTTTTCCTGCCTGTCTTTCTGTCCTGCATCTTCAGTAGTGCTTATCCCAAGTACAGCTAACTGCTTTTCTTTTAATTTTTTTGCTGCACCATGCGACTTGTGGGATTTTTTTTTTTTGACTGCACCCCACAGCCTGTGGGACCCTAGTTCCCAGACCAGGGGTCGAACTCAAGCCCCTTGCATTGGAAGGTGGAGTCTTAACCACTAGACTCCTAGGGAAGTCCCTTGTGGGATTTTAATTCCTCGACCAGGATCAGGACCAGGGATTGAACCCGGGCCCCTGGCATTGAGAGCACTGGCCCACCAAGGAATCCCCAGTTAACTACCTTCTGACTTGTACCAGGCCTCGCTCCCGTGTTAGAGCATCACCCCTGTGACGATGTCCACCACTTCTGTTCCGCTCACTGCTCAGCCCCAGTGACTTAACACGGACAGATGCAGCACTCAGCACTTCACAGGGGCTCTGTATTTCTTGAATGGATACATGACCAAACCAGCTGCATCTAAATACACGCAACTTGGCTGAGACCAAGAGGAGGGCAACAGTGTTTTACAAAAGTGTAAGTAAATAATACAGATTATTCCTTGGGTTTAGAATACAGAAGGAATACCTGTTTTGTTATTTATAAAAAAGGATTTCTTTCTGTGTAGCAATGTCAGAAGCAGCAAATGGCCCTGTTTGAGGATGAGACCTAAATCTACTCATAAGGGGAGAGCTGACGTCCTATGTCATATGATTTACTCCTCCTGCAAGCCTCCTTTATCGTACCTTTACTTCAGAGCCCCACTCGATACTATTTACATTCAGTTCTATATATTTTCTATATATTACACAGACATATTTTTTATTCACTACTTAAAAGTTCTTTCGAATAAAATTGCCTTTGTGTCTCCCAGAGCTACTCAAAAAGTAAGTACTGAGTAAGTGCTTGAGGAACTGATTCATTCATTCTATATTCCAAGTTCCCTTCTAGGTAAGAGTTGCTAAATGTCAGCATCTGGCCAATATAGAGGATCAGGGACATATAAACCCAGTTTTTCCTGGACATTTTTTTTTTTAATTTTTTGGAGTATAGTTGCTTTGCAATGTTGTTTCTGGACATTGTTGATGAAGTAAATGACAAATACTGTAATATAAGAAAAGGGTTTTATTCCTAATTTTTAGTTCCCATACAGTTTACAAATACACTTTTACTCTGATAATGCAGCTTTGCAACTAGCAAAGCAGTTGAACTACACCCATAAATACAGGTGGGGAGACAATTAACAGCCACTAACGTTCCTCTACATAAACTATTTTTTTAATGTCTTTTTTTTAAAACAATTGCAAATAGACTACGTAATATACGTGGGCAAAAAGGCAATTAACTGAATCTCTTGAAACACTAAATGTATAATAAACAGTGCATATTATCAACATTTACATGATTCACATCAAAATGATGACATCCTAAAACGTATTCCTTTTAAAGGATAGATTTATCAATAAAATATTACATATCTTTTAATACTCTGGTACAATACTTCATATACTGCAGGAAAATTAACTGTAGGTCTAGTCATCAACTTAATAAAGGATCCTTTTCCATTAGCTTTTATTAATAAAAGAATCACAATTAGGTCATAAATAAACAGGCAAATTATTAATTATATGATTTGAGGTTTAGGATGAAAACCTGTAAAAATTAGTTTGATATACAGCAAAGTTATACAACACACTAAAACCAACTGTTTAATATTTTTGCCTTGTGTGAACTGCCCGTAATGAAAAAGGAACAAACTTTTTAAGGATGGAAGATACAATAAACTATATTTTGGAACTTACTTTTCAAGAGGAAGAGGAAAAGATTTTAAAGAAATTAAGGGCTAATACAGATCCTAATAAAGGCATATTGAAATCAGGGAGGCCATGTGCTTGCCATATAAAACTTTATTCCCCCAACAACATACAGAAAACAAAAACTGCACTGGGTTTGTACTTATGTCTACAGCCTAAATTTCCCTTGTGGATTAATAAGCTACAACAAAGCACTTCACAATTGCATACCTTTTTTCCACATTCCTCTGCACTAGAAAGAACCTAGGACATTATATTAGTTCTTAAAAACCCCAGTAAACCCTTAATAACCCCTTAATAACACCTAAAAATAATCTTGATGACTTTCTTGGCTGTTCCAAAGCAACTGGGCTTTGTAAAGGATGCACAAACACCAAGAAAATCATACATGTACTTTCTCATCCCTGTTTAGCCACATTTAAAAAGTCACTGAGTCACTGATTTCAAAGGGAGAGATGACCAGAATTTTCAGGAGGGCCACACACTGAATACAAGGTGTCTTTTTGCTTTTTTTTCCCCTTTTTAAAAAAGTTATTAAGACTCTGAAATTTGGCTTCTTTTTAAAAAACCCCAATACCACGTGCCAGGTAATTTCTTCACCCCAAATATAAAATCCTATGCTTATAATTTTAAAATACTTAGCCAGCTACGGGATATTGTGCAAATTTAATGTCTACCAGCAACCCGGAAGCAGACTGCAGACGTGTAGCTATCACACCTATTTCCCAGGTAACCTGATTCAATTATTACTGACTGCTCTGGCCCCAGGCCCTCTGACTTTCTCAGAAACCACCTCTTTGGAACTTCCATTTCCACTATATTTTTTTCTACCTGCACCTTGAGCCCCTGCCCCCCGGCAGTCCCATCCACAGTCCCTCCACCTGAAGCCATCCCATGTAACCTTACCCAAGAACCTACAATCACCTTTACCAAACACACGGCAAACCTTAGCACCCTAGGGACTATTACAATCTTGTCTTAGCATCAGTTTATAGCACATGATAGTTTGCTGACTTTATGGAGGGAAATCTAAATGAAATCAATGTGCCATTACAAACAAACAAACAAACAAAGCTGGCCAAGATCAGGTGGTTTCCAAGTGCAAAACCAACCGATCTTAAGCCACAGGCAGAGACGCTACTGTAGCAGATATGCTGTACAATCAAACCCTTGTATGCTGGTGAAAGACCTTGCCCCCAAAGTCCACAGTCAGGCAGAAATGAGAACCATTCAATGTGACAATGTGATAAAAAATCACAGGACACAAGATCCTTGTTGCAAACACTTAACTGGAATCTCTTTCCTTACAGGTTTGACAAGACAGTGGTCATTTACATTCCTCTTGTAAGGTAATTACCTTCAGTTCAGACCTGTGTTCTGAAGCACTGAAAGCACTGCTTCAACGCTGAAATTCAATGGCTAGGCGGGATGGGAGGTGGGGTAGGGGGGAAATCTATACACTTTATTTTTTTTCCAATGTACATTTTTGTCTTCTGAAAATGGCAGTCAGGCTCTCCTCAAACAAATCTCAGGATTTTAAAGGAGGTAAAGCCCTCAGGAAGGAATTACTACCAGGGCTGGATCTAGTCCTTCCTTTTCAAGAGACAAAGCAAGAAGAATTCGATGAAGGAGCCCATGACTTAACAGCAAAGTTGCCACGGCATTTTATTATCTTTACCATGTCCACCAATGACACTTTAATTGAAATACACTCATTAAATGATTCAACACACAGGGCAAAGAGGGATGTCTTTGGAGAAGGCACTTCAGGTAGGACGTTAGCAAATCTTACTGCTCAGTTAAAGCAAAAATGAGCTACTGCTAATTCAGTCAGATTAGTGGCCTCAGGAGGACTGCTCCTCCTCACTCAGCCAATGGCAAGCATGAGTGTGGGATATGACTAAAACCAGGGGCATGAAGAAAGCACCCCAGACACCTCTCTCTGTAGGGGCTAGGGCATTGAGCTGGTTCTGCTCTCAAACGCTCTGCCCTCACAAACACATCCATCCTTAAGAGGTCAGGTGCCCAAAGTGATGGTTCAGAAAATATGCTAAGAGCCAGCAGAAGTGGTTCAAGAAGCTTGCCTGACTCCCAGCTTACACCAGCTATCATAACCAGCTTCAGCTTTCCAAGGTCACTAGTGGCTCCTACTTTTGCTACTTGGTTTTTTTTTAGCTGTTTTTCCATGGCACTGGTCTTGACTGTTCCACTGGGGGCCTCCAAGGAACCTTACCTCCAGTTCACGCCCTCATGCAGTGCCCTCTTCCCAAAATGGGGCTGGGCCTGGGCCTGGGACTGGCTTTAATCAACACGGGGCAGTAGAAATGATGCGGTGACAGTTCTGGGTTGAAGTCTTCAGTGCATGCGGCTGCTACTACTTTATACCCTTGGGGCCTCAGAGCTGCCATGAATGTGGTGCAGCTACCCTGCTGGCGAACGAGAGACCCAAGGACCACACACAGACAGAGAAGCCAAGCCATCCTGCCCACCACATGAGTGACACCAGCAAGACAAGGAGAGGAACCACCCAGCTGAGCCCAGCCCAGTTTGAAGAAGGTGAGGAAAAGCAAGCTGTTGTTTTAAGCCACTCAGTTTTGAGGTGGTTTGTCAGCAAAAAATGATAACCAAAAACTGGTTATCCAGAGACACAATTTTTTTTCCCAAACACAAGACAATTACTCAAATGAAAAGATAAGATGGCAAATGTTTTCCCACCACAACATTTTCAGTCAACAGGCTGAATGGGAATTGGTCAACTGCTAAGAAGAAAGCATGCCTTTTATCCTAAGTTCCAATGATCTTTTCCCGCCATGATTTTTTAATGTCAATGCAAAGGTAGACAGTCTGGGGCACTGGCTTAATTATTCTTGAGCCAAAATAAGAGGCCATCAAAATGAATTATCCACTGCTGGATAAGTGATGATAAATAAAACTGTTCTCTCTTCTATAGGATGTTGTTACTTAATTTTCCCAAATCATTTTTCCTCTTACAAGTGCCCTAGCATCCCCCACAAAGAGGGGAGGGGAAACTCTATCTGTTGAGGTTATCAAAAGAAAAAAAAAATGCCAATAACTAGAATTTGAGTCTCCATGATCTGTAAAATATACAACACAATTTAACTGCTTCCTTAATTTAAAATAAAATTCCATAAAATATAACACTGTCTACATCATAGAGATGATTTCTTCTTATCTGAGGACATGAGTAACTGGAAATCAGGTGTCATCGAGTTAAAATACAGTGGTCTTTAAATGGTTTCAAATTTTGCTTATCAAAAGGTAGCCAACCACAGTGCAAGTCTTCCAAATTCAAGTTCATTCTTCATGTAAGCTTTCTTGCATCTGTTCTTGATCTTTTCAGGGAGAGGGTGAAAGTTCACATCTAGTAAAGAAAGAAATTAGAATTTTTAAGGAGCATACATTGAAAAGTCTGGCAAGGCAGTAAACCATTTTAAAGCAGAGTTAAAGCTTTTAAATATACTGCTCATTAGAAATGAGAACTTCAACATGAAATACTAAAAACTGTGACCTTCTAAATTCTCTTGGGTTACACCCATCACAAACTTGGGTCACTCTCTAAAAAGGTGACTGACAGGGAGGAGAGGTAGAGGGGAGATGATTCCCAGCATCAGAGCTGGGAGGGGTAGAGTCGAGCCAGTTAGAGAGGCCCAGGAGGTCCAGTGCCCTGTGCCACACAGGCAGGCAGGCAGAGGCCCACTAAGGTGAAAACTCAGGCATCCTGACTCCAGTCATCCAGGACCGTGTCCCCACACTTCCTAGATTCCTAGAGATCCTCTCCCAGCACAGCCTGGGTTAATCTACTTTACTAAAAATTGCAGGAATGATGATATCTGCTCTTCATCACCAGTTTCAACCATTTCTCAGTAAGTGCTAACCCTTCCCTTAACAGAATAAATTTTGTATTTGATTTCAATATTTAAATGAATCCAGCTTGGAAAAAGAAATATAGGCAAAAGAAAAAGAAGGCTGATTTCTAAAAAGGAGTAGGTTCGCTTTGTTATAACAGTCACAGATTATCTGTCAGCTCTGAAATGCCACAAATTCACCAGACTCTGATGCTGGGAAAGATTGAAGGCAGGAGGAGAAGGGGATGATAGAGGATGAGATGGCTGGATGGCATCACCAACTTGATGGACATGAGTTCAAGTAAGCTCCAGGAGTTGGTGATGGACATGGAAGCCTGGCATGCTGCAGCCCATGGGGTCACAAAGAGTTGGACACGACTGAGCGACTGAACTGAATTGATATGAACGATGAACCCGCGACCACTTCCACTGAAATACCTATTTCTGTGCTTGACGTCTTGGCGGGTCTTCTCATCTGAAACTTTTCTGCTGCTGCATCAGGCCCACGTTTTCATAGACTCTAGCATTATCTTCTCTCATTCTGAAAAGAAGAGAAAGAAGAAGACACTAACAAAAACACAGACATACTCTTTAACCTTATGTGATAGTTATAACCCACCTACCTCATTCTCCGGGACTGAGTATGGCACAGATATAGCTCTTGCCCCCAGGAGCTGACATTCTAGGAGGGGATTTGAGACAGAAACACCTATCAAAATCATTGTGAAGAGCCTTGAGTCCCTGTGCTCTCAAGGGTTTGGCACAAGGAGAGTTGTTTCCCAGGAGGGTGGAGTAAGGGAGGCCTGTATAACGAGGTCCTGGGTTAGACCATGAAGGAAGCAGGGGTGCGCGCACAGAGAAAAGAATGGTATTCAATGCGAGGAGAGGGAGCTGATGGCCAGAGCTCCATGAAGGCAAACTGTAGGAATGGTCAGGCAGTGACTCTAGATCCATTCAGTCCCCAGTCCAGTCATGTGAAGGTGAACGTGAAGCTGACTGGTGGTTTAGGGCCCCTGGTGGGCAGGGAGGCATCAGAGTCCAGACTCTACGGTGACCAGACAGCCCAGGAGGAGGGGAAAGCAGCAGCAGCGGCTGGCCAGGGAGGAGCACGCTGAAACAGCAGTGGGGCTGGGGTCTCTTGGGTCTGCACCCTCTAAGGGGGATGATGGGAAAGGCAGAGAACCTGCTGGTCGCAAGGAGGCCACTGGTAATAGGGGAGTCATCAGAGCTAATTCTGTTGAGCCAACACGTGGGGAAAGCTTTCTGGCAAGAAATCGGAGCCCTGATGTGCTAGTTCCACTGCAGATCACAATTCAGAGTATCAACTTTCCCCCTTGGCCCACTGGGAAAGAAAAAAGCAGCCAGAAGGAAGAGGGAGTTTGGTGGAAAGCATACTTTTGCTGCATCATTTCATCTTGATGTTAAATAGAAAGCAAATGTAAATACGAACCCCATATATGTTATCCAAAACGTTTATATAGAGTATTAAAGCCAGCAGGGGTTTAAAAATCCACATCAGAAGCAAACAGACATAAGACTCGCAGGAGAAAGTAAAAAGTAAATGTTATACCAGAGAGTGACTTCAGGATATACAGAAAAATCATAACTTATAATTGCTATTCACATCACTGATTTAACAAATATTTTCCTATCACATGTTTTAGTTTAAAAAAGGAGCTGGCAAGGTTTTTCTGTACAGAACCAGACCGAAAATTATATAGTTTCTGTGGGCCATATGCGGTCTCTGTCATGTATTATTCTTTGTGTTTTTTTTTTTAATAACCCTTTAAAAACCATCCATGAGCTGTACAAAAACAGGCTGTGGCCCAGATTTGGCCTGGGGGCTAGAGTTCGCTAACCCTTGGTTTAAATAACCACAGTGGATTTCTGCTGACTGTGGAAAGTTAGACCAGGACTGTGTGGGCCATTGTGCGCTGAGTCAATCAGTCAAGTCCATCTCTCTGTGACCCAACGGACTGTAGCCTGCCAGACTACCCTGTCCACGGGATTCTCCAGGCAAGAATGCTGCCATTCCCTTCTCCACAGGATCTTCTCGACCTAGGGATCAAACCTGGGTCTCCTGCACTGTAGCAGATTCTTTACCACCTGAGCCACCAGGGACCATCAGACCATTATTTTATGTAGCAAAGAATCTTCACTCATCAAAAGGGGTGTTACCTACCTTTGCAACAATCCCCCACCCCACTGAAATAAAAATAAAATTCTTCTTGGAGAACCAGCACTTGACATATTTATAATCCCCGAGGATCCTAGCCAGTGCAGCAAGCAGCCTTCAGTTTAGGTGAATTACAATTTAGCTTAGCTAGCCACACTCACAAACCAGTCAGGCAACAATAATGTGCACCAAGGAAAGGCATGTGCTGCAAAGATGTGTCATTTTTTAAGCTTTTCTAAAGGATTATGTTCAGGAAAAAAGAATTTCTTTCATTTCTACTTACTCTGCACAGGATGGCGTTGGGGTACAAGGTGGCAGGGGACTCTGATCTCCACTTGTCTGGTCCGTCAGGGAATACTTAATATTTGTGTATTCATGTCCTTTCCTCTTGCTTTTCTGAAAAGCAAAGGTTGCATATATGAAGTACTATGACTTTTTTGAAGGAATGATGAAGTTAAAAAGCCATTTCACAAGAAAGAAGAAAGGAGGGAGAGAGAGACAGAGCTGGATAGATAGATAAGTTGAACCCTGAATACTGGTACGTTGGCCAAATGCCAGGGCATTCACCTCCATGTAAATTCATCCTACGGGTGAAAGGGACTTTTGAACCACACAATTCAAAAGCAGAGAGAATCATGCATTAACAACTTACTGTATTAAATGAAACATACCTGCTTCTGAGCTAAGAGAGAATTCACACTTTCTTTGCCACATTAGCATCTAATCGTTTCATAGTTCACTTGCAACACATTTAATGATTTTCAAGTAAACAGGTGGGAAAAGAGTTCCAGAAATAAATGCACTCCAAGTAGAAATGGCCCACGGGTACAAAAGATGTCAGCACTCTTATCAGGTTCATACGTTTATCACATTGTCACCATCCCACCGCTACACCAGAAAAAAACCCCTAGCACATTTAATACTTTATTTTCAGCCTAATGATAAACTCTGGAGGGAAAAAAGGTAAAGAAAATCAGTAGACTGCAATCTCATCTCAGATACAGAATGAACTGCATTCAGTAGAACTCCTGGTTAGATGATTTATCACTCTTTCCTCCTAAATTCACCCAGAAACAACCAATTCCAAAAATCTAATCCATAAAGTTCTCATCATTATACAATGCTGCTTTCATTTCAGGATTATTCAAGAAACAGCAAATATCAGAAAGGGTATCCATATCAAACACTGATATAGAGCAGTGACTTTCGTTCACTGCTGGTGGGAGGGTAAACTATGCCATCACTTTGGTGCACAATTTGTCAGAACGGATAGTACTAACACTAGTATCTGGTAATGATGAAAAGGCACGTATGTACTAAAACTTTAAACATTTTCTTCTTCAGAAGCTCATGCACACGAGCCTAGAAGAGCTGACAAGGATGTCCAATGACGTGCTATTTCCAACAACATTCACCAAAAGAACAAATGAATGTGATGTATCCGTATCATAAAATAAGAGGAAATGTACGTACTTATGTGTGCACACCAAAACAGATTTCACACACAACGTTAGGTGCAAAAACACAAACTGCAAAATAATTAAACAATACAATAGTATGATATCACCTTGCTGAACATTCTAAGGGAATTCCATTACACTGTTTCTGTGTATTTTTTTTAAATGTCTTTTTAATACTGTAAGTCGAAGTTAACAAAAGAAATCAACTTCCAAGTAAACAGAAGAGTGTGAGATCGGCATATAAAGACTGGAGAATTTTCTCAGTCTTGCTCATTTGCATTTCCCCTAGATTCCCACCTCTGTTTCTGCATTTCCTCCTTCCAATGCTGCCTTGGTTTCTCTTCTTCCTTTCCCCTGCTCTCCACCCCTGTCATTTTCTTTTTTTCCATTTATCCCTCTGTAGCAGTCTTTTACTCCCAAAGGTCCTTAATGCTTCATAATAATTTTGGAAATGCATGGATTTCAGAATAATTAATTATGCTAAATGAGTTTTGTTCTTTTGCTTAATCTAAAAATCACGTGGGTGTAAATTTTTAAATCTGCCACTGAAACCTACTAATTAAGGTACTTCTTACTCTAGTCCCAAATCAAGTAGCAAGTTCCTACATTGAATCAAACAGTACAACGAAGGAAACAACATATCACAAAATCTAATTTCTTTCTTTTTATTAGTGATTTTTTTTAATTTATTTTTTGCCCCTCTGTGGCATGCTGGATCTTAGTTCCCTGACCAGGGAATCAAGGCTGTAACCCTCGTGTTGGGAGCATGGAGTCTTAACAACTGGGATCACCAGGGAAGTCCCCACAAAATCTAATTTTAAAAAACAAATATAATCTAAGCCTACATATTTTTCTTTTAAATCCAAAAGTTCATATACCAAATAGCTAATGCACTGACACGTAATGGCACCGAAAAGTACTGGCTGAGTGAACGAATGCACATACTCATTCGAGTACTCTTGGGATGGGATTACTGGGGACATCCAATTTCTATAGTCTACATTCTGTAATATTTAAGTGATTCTACCTCCCCTACCCCTCATCCCCAATAAAAGGGCAGCAATAAAGGTATTTTGGTTTTAACTAGCTCCTAAATCCAAATTACAACTTCAGATTTAGGGTCAGAGGGACCATATATGGTAAGTAATAGGAAGATGTGTACTGCCAGATAAGCTAGGAGGGAAAGTCCCTAAATTCTCCAAAACCAGAAGAAAAACCAAAGCTTCTGAATGAAATAGAGAGCTTTTCCCCCAGCTTTTCTGAGCAAGACTATCTTATGGTCTTCAAGATATTCCCAAGTAATTTCCCATTTGTACCAGTGGTACTGTACTCTACTTATTAGAAGTCTTTCTTTTGAGGCAACTTCATGCTTTAAGTAAGTACTCCTGGCCCAAATCAATATAACTGGAAGGTGAATATGAAATAGCCTACAGTAACCATCTAAAGGCTTCCCGGTGGCTCAGACGGTAAAGAATCTGCTTGCAAAGCAGAAGACCTGGGTTCGATCCTTAGGTTGGGAAGATCCGCTGGAGAAGAGATGGCTACCCACCCCAGTATTCTTGCCTGAGAATTCCATGGGCAGAGGAGCCTGGTGAGCTACAGTCCATGGGGTTGCAAAGAGTCAGACATGACTGAGAGATTAACACTTCCAAGTTCTATTTTAAGTTCACAGCACTTACATTATTCAAAACCAGCACAGAGCTTGTTAATGGTCAAATAGACCATGCCTTCCTATATCCATACTGTTTCTGAAGATGTTTTTGTACAAGGAAACAACCTAGTGAGTATTTCTACATGGACTGAGAACGTACTAAACTAACTAACTTGGGGTGACCATGCTTTGATAACATGGCCACTGGGCTGCTAGGCTAGAAACCTTTCAATCAGGTTTCAAGTCCCATTTTTGAGAAGCTGAGTTTCTCAGAAGGTGATAAACAGGGTAAAGAAGGCAAATACCACTGATGTTTAGACATCATGTCTATCCAGTGAGCAGCACAGTGATGGGGCTGGAGGTGGGGGTGGGGAGTGAACTAAGGACAGCTCCCAAAAGAGCAGTCTCCTCAGTCCTCATGAACTCAGCCTTGTGTCTGTTATGAAGAGCTTCCACTGGAAAGGCTGCAGCACCACACTGCTCATTATGTGTGGCTTATTAAAAATGGAAATGTTTCTATTTCCAACTCGACCACATTGGGGGTTCCAACCCTCATGTGCTATATAGAGTGAGGCATTCATTTAAGAGATGGAATCAGGATGAATGCGGCCTGGATCAAAACTGGAACAGGCTGGAAACTTCGAGGCTTGGAGTTCTAAGCCTGCCAGGTGAGCCTGGGAAAATCCCAAACCCATCTGTCAGGCCTGGTGCCCCTCCCTGAGCTACTCCATAGTGAAAAATAAGAGCTGTGCAGTAGGGAATAATTCGTTTCCAGAGAGGTCCTTCCTGGTTGGGAACTTGTTTCCTCTTTTCAGATAAAGACAGTTATCTAGCAAAGCCTGAACTCTCACTCAGAAGGGAGCATATCCAAGCCAAGCTGCCCAGAAAAAATACACCAAAAATCTATATGTCAGCCGTGTAGGCTTGGTACCTGCTCTTCTTCAATCCTGCGCTGTAGTGTTTCAATATAATGCTGGACAGCCATATAGATGAATCGGTACTGTGCTTCTGTCTGGACCATCCCTGACCTCTGAGACCGCACCATCTGAATGGTTTTGGGAACGTCGATGTCACAGTCAACACCTAAAAGCAAAGCACCACGGAGCATCAGGAGAAACTGCAGAGACAAGGTGAGGTGGTTTAAAGCACAACTTTGAGCAGAGATAAAGCAAATTTACTCATTCATGTTTTAACTGAACCTGTTCCAAGGGCTACGGCACTGGCCTTCTGACCAATATCAACGATCCTAGAAGATTACAGGGTCAGGGGTCGGCTGTGAGGAGCCCCTCAGGTTACAACACCACCCTATACCATCAACAAGGAGTGAGCGGATGGACAGAGACCACCACTGCATGTTCAACAAAAGGCCATAGCAGTGGGAGCCACTGCTCCTAGGCTGTGTTTTATGCCAAAAGCTCAAACAGCAAAACTTCTGTTCTTGGGCAAACATACTGAAAGTTGAAGTCTCTGGCCTAGATTTTTGTGAAAATACTTTAACGTTCAATTTTCTTCCGCAGGCTATTTTCACTAGCACTTTCCTTCCATAAACTGAAAACAGGAATCGTAGCTTCTTGCCCTCCGAATGACCTACCTTTCTCTCTGATGATGTCAATAAGAATATCAATCACAATGAACGTCCCTGTCCGGCCAATTCCAGCACTGTGGGCAGAAGGACGAAGAGCGAGGACAATGGAGTCATTCATGAGGGTTTTATGCTCAAAACCAAGCTATTAATATTAATAGAAACAATGTCTGCTCTTGGGAGTATTTATAAGATTGTCTATTTATATTTGCAAACATATGAGCAAAGAGCCCAGGGCTTTGGACTTAGTCCGTCCTGCACTTGGAGCCCAGCTTCCCTGGCACAGTGTGCCTGAGGCAAATCCCTTAACCTCTCTGACCCTTGGTTTCTTCATCTGTGAAATGGGCTATTTGAGTATCAAATATCAGTAATGAGTGAAAAACAATGAATGCAGATGCTGGTATGGAGCAAGGGCTCAATAAAAGGGAGCTTTTATAGAACTGAATAAATAATGTTTCGCACGCATCTACTTGCCCAACATATGAAAGATTTAGGAAACCCAACTTTCCCCAGGATAATCATGAAGCCTAAACTTGGGAACTGGCACCTACAAACTCTGGTGCGGAGGCTATGGGCCTGGCTTCTAGAAGCCTGAATGGGGAGTGGTCCAAATATTCTGAAACAAACAGGTATGTTGTCGGGGGGAAAAAATACACCACATTTCCATGGAAAACGAGAACAGGATCACAAAGAGATGAATCCTAAAATAACTGCATGAACAGAGAAAACCAATCAAACATTACCAGACTAAGCATGCCTTAAGAATTAAGGACTGTGTTCACCGCCTCCTGCCCCACCACCCTAGTACCTGGTGGCCCCACAGGATCTAGAAGAAATGTACTTGGGGGCCAAAGTGTCCCTTAATGCCACAAACAGGCATTAAATATTCCCCACAGTTAAGGAGCTTTGGCTGGGGGTGGACAAGTACAAACAAGCACTCTGGGCGTCGGGAGATGATGGGACAGGTGACATCCTAGAGGCGGAGGGGCCGGTCACCTGCAGTGAACCACCACGGGCCCCGCGTCCACAATGCTCTCCTGCTTGTGGTGAACCTCCTCCAGGAAGTCCAGCACGCCCCCTGGGTCACTGGGCACGCCGTGGTCCGGCCAGGTCCGAAAGTGGTATTGCCAGACCGTTCTCTCCGTATTCCCCTGGAGTAGAGCCAAGAAAAACCAGAAAAGAATTAAATAAATCAAGGGGCTGAGGTATCGTCCAGGTCCCATCTTTCCCAGACCCGCCATGAGCTGGGGTGGCCAGGGCGGCACTGCCCCCTCACGCTCCGTTCACAGGTCCCCTCCACAAGTCCCCCAGATCTCTCCTCCTCCTGGGTCTGGCTGAGCAATCCTGGAGGCTGGAACCCCTTGCCTCTGTCCGAAGAAGCAAGATGTCTCGTACGGCAGTTTGTTCTTGAGGAAACGACAACCGGCATCCGTGTCTGCACCGTCAGCCAGCGGCAGGCGAGGTCCCTGTTCCCCCTCCTCCAAGCGCAGCTCCACATGAGAGACAACTGAGTCCTCTGGGACCTGGGGGCTCTCCTCCCACCACCTGGAAAAGCCCTCCAGACATCTGCTCGTCTCTGTCTTTTTGTACCTGGCCCTCCTCCCATCCTGCAACATGCACTTTTATTAAAATTATTTCAACTTCCATTTTGGTGCAGAGCGGGTAAGACAGGCTTTGCAATCAGGTGGGTAGATTCAGGCCCCAACCCCAGCATTCACACTCACTGTGACCCCTGGACATCTCTAAGCCTCAGACCCCTCATGTGCTGATGGGCATAAGACTCTATCACAATTATCACTGTGAAGACTAAACAAGACCAGTTAAACACAGAGCCACTGCAAAGCAGACAGGAAGAGACTCGGCACACTGGCGCTCTTCTGAGGACTGACGTGAATAAAGATCAACAAGGGTACCGAGATTACAGAAAACCAAAAAAGCATCGTGCTCTGGGTCCACCCAATTAGGTCACTATTTGTCACTCCATCTTCTTCCTACATTATCTGGAGACTACATAAGCTAAGTAACATTTTTAAAGGGGATTTTTAAAAAAAGAAAGAGAGAGAATAACCAGACCAGAATCCATCACCAGTGACCTTCAGAACATCCAAGGAATCTGAACCACAGTCAATATCTTTTCTTGAATTATGTGCATTTTGTTTGCTGAGTCATGAAAAAGGATTTTTCTGGAGGTTACCAGTGAGCTAAAACTCAGGGGGTTCCCAGGGTCACAGAAAGGATAGGGAATGAGAAAGACCCAGCCGCCCTGAACATCCTTGTTCCTCCTCCTGTACAAATGGCCACTGAGGTCTCTGGTCCCACTCCTCCTTCTTAAATGAGATCATGTGATAGCACTTTAAAAAAAAAATGGAACATGCCATACAAAAAGCAGATAATCCATGACCAGCAATTCTGGAGAAATGATCGCTCTCGTGTCAGCACCTGCATCCGAAAGTGCGAAACACAAGCCCAAACACCAGTGTTTCCTGTACCTGATACTCCCAAATCTCTGCTAACAAGAAGATGGATGGTTTACCAAAAAAAAAAAAAAAAACCCTGAAGAAAAATCCACCTGCTACTGAGAAACACCTGATAATAAGAAGACGGGTAGTTTATCACCACAGCTGAAGAAAAACCTATCTGAAATCTTTGTCCAATGTCCTCTAAATCTCTCTCTCTCATTTCTGCTTGACAGCGACATTCTTCCCACTTCCCCGCACAGTCACACAATCAATTGAACCTCCACCCTCTCCCTGCCAACAACAGAACTGCACATCAGAGGTTCCGACATCTCACCCTGGACCACTGTCGCCGAGGCTCCCGGCTCACTCAGGTCCCCAGACCACCTCACGGAACTTACCAGGGGACAGTCCCTCCCCCATCCTCCGCCCGCCTCCTCCCGCCCCGGCTGCCCAGATGGGACTCCGTGCACTCTCTCCATCATAGATCTGCACTCCCCCCACCCTCTCTCCACCCACTGCTGAGGAACCCAGCACCTTAGGTGGGTGTGACAGCGGGTGTCTGCTCGATGGCATAGGGACCTGTATCGTGGCTTCTCATGGCTACGTGACTGTAATTCCTTGAGGACAAAGGCTGTTTCGTTTACCTGTGTCCCCAGAGGCCCTTGAATAAGTAAGCCCCTCTCACCATGAAATCATGACGAATTCAAATCACGCTGGATGCAAAGTTAGTCACCCCAGATGTATACGTATGGGTGACTCCCTTTGCTGTCCACCTGAAACTATCACAACATTGCTGATCATCTGTACTTCAATATAACATAAAAAGTTAAAAAAAAAAACCAAAACAACATAGTCATCCCAGGGACAAATCTGAACTGCGCACAATTAGAAGCTGACACGTGGAATATGGGCGCTAAAACAGGCCTCAGGGCCTCTGTACTTGCTGCTCCTTTTGCTTGGGACTCTCCTCTGCTGAGCCTCAGACTTCAGGCCTCAGCTTCCTGGCACCCCCTCAAAGAGCTCCTCCCTACCTTCTCCATTTCACTCTCTAACACACCACACTGTGGCTTTCATAGCACCACAATAACTGGAAAGCTTGGCTGGTTATTTACTCCTTAACCTCCCACCTCCCCAGGCTCTGTGGGGGAAGGGACAGGTCTGGGGTGCCAGATACCAGCCAAGTACCGTGCGTCTTCCCAGGTAGCTCAGATGGTGAAGAATCTGCCTGCAATGCAGGAGACCTGGGTTCGATCCCTGGGTCAGGAAGATCTCCTGGAGAAGGGAATGGCAACCCACCCCAGTATTCTTGCCTGGTGAATTCCAAGGGCAGAAGAGCCTGGCGGGCTAGAGTCACAAAGAGTGGGACACAACTGAGTGACTAACACAATGACAACAGAACAAGTACCTCGGTGGTACCTGGCACACGAAGGGTGTCCATAAATGGATGTTGTTCAGGGAGTGAACAAATGCCTGAAGGTATGCAGACAGGAGTGACCGCACGACCCTGGATGAGCGCACCCCATGTGCAGTTAGCAGAGTCTCTAAAGTATGACAGTATACTTACTTGTCCAACCTTCGAGAGTTTAAGTTCTCTTAAGGTATAGTCGTGAGCAGCGCTTTCCTTGACGTTCCTAACGCGCATGACTCCGTATTCTTTCAGTGCATACTCGTCAGGCCAGTATTTGACACATTTACTCTGGAAGGGGTCCAAGAAAAGACAGTTAATCTCTGTGAACTCTGACATGAAAGCCTCAACCAGAAGTGTTGACTACTAACATGGAAAAGGGCTTGCCTGACTGTTTATAATAGCCAGGACATGGAAGCAACCTAGATGCCCATCAGCAGACGAATGGATGAGGAAGCTGTGGTACATATATACCATGGAATATTACTCAGCCATTAAAAAGAATTCATTTGAATCAGTTCTAATGAGATGGATGAAACTGGAGCCCATTATACAGAGCGAAGTAAGCCAGAAAGATAAAGACCATTACAGTATACTAACACATATATATGGAATTTAGAAAGATGGTAACGATAACTCTATGTGCAAAACAGAAAAAGAGACTCCTATGTATAGAACAGACTTGTGGACTCTGGGAGAAGGCGAGGGTGGGATGTTTCAAGAGAACAGCATTGAAACACGTATATTATCTAGGGTGAAACAGTTCACCAGCCCAGGTTGGGTGCATGAGACAAGTGCTCGGGCCTGGTGCACTGGGAAGACCCAGAGGGATTGGGTGGAGAGGGAGGTGGGAGGGGGGACCGGGATGGGGAATACATGTAAAAAAAAAAAAAAAAGATACACTATGGTTGTGATAAAAATAAATAAAGAAAGAAAGAAAAAAAGAAAAAAAAAGGGCTTGCCTGGTGTCTAACTGTTGGATTTTCAAAGAAAAGGAAAGAAGAGTTCAAACTAGAGAAGCAGATGCAGGGAGAAGTGGGAAGAGAAAGCCAGTGTCGCAGAATGGTTCATCTAAGTCACGGGTCTGAGGAGAGTCAGTGCTTGTTTATTTCTCTCTAAAGAACCAAGGAGGGATTTCCCTGACGATCCAGTGGCTGAGACTCCGTGCTCCCAATGCAGGGGACCCGGGTTCGATCCCTGGTAAGGGAACTGGATCCCACATGCCACAACTGACCGTTTGCATGACTCAACCAAAGATCCTGCATGCCGCAGCCAAGACCCAACAGAGCCAAATAAATAAATCTATTTTTTAAGAAAGGACTTGAACTTATCTTTTTAAAAAAGAACTAAAGAGCAGAGAGTGGGGGACTACGGGGTGTGCAGGTTCCTGTCTAGCAACCGCTGAGCGCTGAATTCCAGAGATCTGCCAGTCACTCTGCAGGGAAGACAGGCAGGGGCTCTGGAGGTGGATGGGCTGCCCAACGAGCCAGACTGTCTGGTTCATTTCCGCACCCGTGTAGGAGGCCTCTGCGCCTTATCTAACCCAAGTGTGAACAACTCCAACACGCAAAGGCAGCTGATGGAGTTTGGAACCAGCTGCTTTTTCTATATCCAGATCCACGTGATACCTGCTGCACACGTCACCCTCACTTAACCGGGCGCCTGGGAATGCTGAGCCTGCAATAGCTACTGGCTTCGGATTGGAAAATATGGCACCAGGGGAGTCAGTCTTGCCGCCAAAGAGGAAGATACTTTGTTCAATAAGACATGAGTCCGTAGAGATCTGGTGATGTGTCCTGGGCAGAGAATGTTTTTGTGTCTTGCTTTTTTCCCCAGGAGCAGTCACCCACACCACTCACTTTCCACAGCCCCCAAGACACAACTACCAGCAAGAGAAATCTACCTTGTACATTAGGAAGATACAGCAATTCACTGTTAAAAAACAAGAAATCAGAGAACAGCTGCAGACAGCCCCCCCGTCAATGATTAATCGAAAGGAAACAAAATATGGTAGGAGGAAAGATCAACAGAAGATTTAATGGATAGCACTACTTTTTGGCTTGACATGCTTTATGTGGCCTTTTATTTATTATTCTGAATTTGGCTTTCCCTCCAGTATTTTGTAGATCCAAGTACCTCTTTGACAAATTTGATACAATTTTTATTATCCCCAAATGAACACTTTGACTATTAAATGTATGCAATGCTGTCACTGGTCAATCAATTCTGAGGACTGCTGGTCACCCAAGAGAACACAAATCACAGCTCCTAACACTGTAGCTGACTCTACACATCTGTGAATGACTGCGCCCTCCTCCCAGTTTCCCAAACTCTGATGTAAACCTTGGCAAACAAATTCTAAAACGTGAGCACTGATACTTTAGCTTTTAAATTAAAAGCCCAGGAATCCAGAGTCTGGTTTTTCTTCTGTGCACTGGCGGGGGGTGGGGGTGGGGGGAGGAATACCAAGCAAACACAAGTTATTGGAAAGACCTGTGGGGAACCAAGAATGCATCACACCTTCTGCTCCAACCAGATTTCTTCCACTCCCCTTTTTCCAGAGGGTCAGTTAGAATAAGCTTAATACATTTATTCAGCTCTTAACATGATCAACCCAACACGTCCAATACTTCAAAAAAGTATAGTGTGTAGTATACCTTTCCTCTCTCCACTTCTTTTGTTGTCATGACAATCACCCGGGAGTTCTCCTGGAACACCATCCGCCAGAAGTCATTCACAGTGTTCTGCAGGCAGCCTTGGGTGGCGATGTAACTCTTCTTGGGCTTTGAGTTGTTGCATTTGGTTTCAAATTCAGGCTAGAGATTGAGGAAGAAAACAACTTCAAATGTTTGAAAATTGCTTTGAAAATTGCTTTCAGGCCGGGTGGAAGGATTTAAAATACAAAAACTAGCTAGCAATACATAGTCAGAAAACACCGTGAAAGCAGTTTACCATGATAATGTTTGCGTTGATGTAATCCGAAACGGGCTCATTGGGATCACCATCATGGAGGACGACCCTGGTGTGATCGACTGGAAGAAGAAGAGAGCACGGTCACAGTGGTACTCAGACCCCCTTCAGGACAAATCAGGTCAAATCAGCTCATCCTCAGGGAGGCCCGGTTTTATTCATTTCATGACAAAATGGCATTAAAAACTAAATCCAACATGAGCATGATAATCTGAATATGATGCCCCAAAATGCTTTCCTTAAGGAGTATAAGGTAGCAATGTTAATTTCCTGGTTTTAATAGTATATTGTTGATATAGAGGATATTATCATCGGGAGAAGCTGGGGAAAACAACGGTACACGGGAACCCTCTACATATTTTTGTAACTTCTTGAGTCTAAAATTATTTCAAAACAAAAGGTTTTTTGCTTTCTTGTTGTCGTTTTTTTTAAAGGAAAGTATAGGTAAACGACGTATGTCTGAGATTTGCTTCACAATAATTCAGGGAAAGAAGAGACGTGTACCAGAATACAGATAAATTAGGACTTCCCTGGTGGTCCAGTGGCTAAGACTCCATGCTCCCAATGCAGGGGGCCCAGGTTCAATCCCTGGTCAGGGAGCTAGATCCCACTTGCCATAACTAAGAGGTTGTATGCTGCAACTAAAGATCCCATGTGCTGCAACTAAGATCCGCCACAGCCAAAATAAATAAATATTTAGAAAAAAAAAAGAACAGAAATGAATCAAGATTGGGCACAAGCTGACAATTGGTGGAACTGGGTGCTAGGCATGTGTGGGCTGTGTATACTGTCTACTTTCAAATATACTTTGAAATTTCTGTAATAAAAAGGATTCTTAAAAAGTGAAGTAGAATTAAATACAGTATCCAGACAACAAGATTCTGACAATAGTATCTACTGACCAAATTCTGTATAAAAGTACATGACTGATATAAAAATCTGAGTTTGCTTCTTAGGCAACACATTTTACACTGGGAATTAGCAATAAAGTCATATGTCTTAACACTATTCTTTTGTTTCAGATTGCCCATCTTTAAAGAATATGATGCTAATCAGAAGAAATATCTGATTAGGATTTTTACGGGAGGAAAGGACAGTAATATTCTGTTTAGTACTGCATACCATTGTTCCTGTCATCTTTCCCTACATGCCCACATCTTACTAATGAGCACCATTCAGACCTCCTGAGCAGAAATGAAAACTTAAGACGTAAAGAGGATAATGCTTCCCCAAGGTCATTAGGACCATGCTGTGGTTCAGAATGATTCCCTACAAATTCCTCTTTCTCTCTCCTCGATATTAGAAGAGCCTCCACTGTCTCCCATCCTCACTTACACACATCTGTATGGATGTGATATTCATATACACCATGTATGTGCCCATATGAACACAGAAAGAGGAAAACTACGCTACACACACACACACACACGCGCGCGCGCGCACGCGGGATGGGTTTACAATATATGACAAAGTAGCTCTGACCCGATGAGACATTAGAGCAAGGCTCTCCAAACTGATCATGCTCCCCAATAAACTTAATAATAAAGTTTTTGGACATTGAAATGTATACATATTGGGTGGGTCAAAAAGTTCATTTGGGTTCTTCTGTATGCTCACAATGTGGGAAACCCAAACAAACTTTCTGGCCAATCCAATACAATTATAGATACAAACAAGGCTTATTAAATACATTATACACACTCTGCTATCAAGCTGCACATCTGATTTAATTTTTTTTCTTTTTCTCTTTTTTTTTTTTTGGATAAAGAATATAAATCAAGAGAAGTTCTAAATGTTTCTTCCTGGCCCACTCTGGAGACCCCGCATGAGAGCCTGGAGCTAAGAGTAGTGACTCTGGGGGCTCCAATACCAGTTTTCCCACACAGACCCAAGAGCCAGGGACTGCAGAGCAAGGGCACAAGCCTGGGAGCCCTGAGGCTGATGGTGAGACCCTGGGAGGGAGCAAGCCTTGACATGATCTCTCCTAGGCAGTCTAAATTAACAGAAGGAAACAACCACACTCTCATTTCACTCTGTAAGAAGCAGCATCACAGGAACCCGATGAATGGGGCCATCCGTCTCCACCAGAGCTGACTACTTTGGAAACTACTCACAATTAAAAGAAGCTAAGGCCTTGGATCTGCTGAAAAAGCACATGCCCCACCTCCCCAGAGAAGTGACAGAGACACTGGAGATAAAAACCTCTAAGAGTGGCTATTATGGAGATTGGTACTTACAGGGCAGGATGTTCTTATATCTATTTTTGTTTTTATTTTCTTGCCTCTGACCCTCTTTTCGACTATAGAGAAGTTTACACTCCTGTTGTTGTAGTGTCTGGAGAGAAACAAAAGTAAATATTATTATGCATCAAAAGCTTCCCAAAAAAAGCCTGACTGAGCGGTTCTGCTTTAGGGGATTTATCCCAGGAAATGTTCAAGAATCGTGGGCGACAGCTGTAAGAATGCTCACCTTAATGCTACATCAAGGGGGGCAGAGACACTGAAAGAGCTGCCGAAATAAACACTTTCATTCATTCAAACAAAGGATGTTCTACAGACATTTAAGAGCTATCCTAGGAGAATATCTAATGCGTTGGAAAGATGATCAGAGTGAGTATTAACTAAAAAGAAGGTCAAATTTTCCAAACAGTGCCTTACATAAGCCCTTATGTCTGTGTGCACCTATGTATGTAAGAAATGGCAGAAGTCTGTACACCAAAAAAGTATGGGGCTTTTTTATTTTCAGCAGTAAGATTCTGTTTTGTTTTGCTCGTTTTTTGCCTAAATTTTCTACAATAAATGTTTATAAGAAGAGAAACTTTGGGAACTTCCTATCAGTCCAGTGGTAGGACTCCTCGCTCTCACTGCTGAGGGCCTGGGTTCATCCCCTGGTCGGGGAGCTGAGACAGGATCCCCCAAGTCGCCCGGTGTGCCTCCACCCTGAAAAGAGAGCGACCTTTAAAAATAAGTCACTAAGAATGAAAGCCAGTGAACGCTAGTATACAGTGCTCAAATAGGAGATGTGACCCGTGTTCTTGAGGACTTTGTAATCTGCCTACTTTAACCATTGATGAATTCAGAGCAAGCAGACAGTCAGTTCTCAAATCTGGATTCTGGTGGACACTAAAAGTGGTTTACTGTGGGCGTGCAATCTTTGTTAGCAAAGCTTTCGAGTCCTCCTGTGCCCCAAACCCACATCAGTGCCCTGGGCAGCCAAGCCTGCATCTGCACAGACACCCACTCCCCTGTTCTCTGAGGGGAGGGGGCGCCCCTCCGTCTCCCCGGAGAGAGATGGAGGAGGAGAACGCTCAGGCCCCTGAAGCAAGTGGTCAGGAAGGACACCTCTGCAGGGAAAGGAGGTGGGGAACAGAACCAGGGAAAGAAGAGCCTAAACAAAGCAGGCAGCCACAGCAGGGCTGGCCCCAGGGAAGAAGGGATGTCGTAAGGAAGTGGAGAGGAAGACCAGCCGTAGAAAGAGACAGGAAGGCGGACCAGCCAGGCTGAATGAAGCATTTTCAAGAAGCATTTCCAGAATCACCAAAAGTGCCTCTTCAAGGAACCAATGGTTTCAGACAAGCCTCGTTTGAATAGGAAATCACAAATGGGCAAATCAAGAAAGTGAAAGGCAGACTAAAAAGGAAAAAAAAAAGTGTTACATACTAAAAATATGTTTATATATGCCAAAATGATGATCCCTTAAGAGATTTCTCTACAAGGGAAGGCAGAGCCAGTATTTCGTAACACAGTGGCCCTATTATATATCCATTTCATTTATCTGCATTTCACAGACAGCTTTGAAAGTCAAGAGTTTAAACTGCTATTTGACTCTAGGTTTCAAAATGCAATAATTCAGCCTTGACACACAGCTCAAAACCAAAATGTTTAGCCAGCTGAAACCTGGACAGAAATAAAATACAACATACACAGAACTCTGACAATCAAATAGTCACTCAAAATTCTTCAGTGAGTTCACATACAGTAATTAGAGCCATCTGCATTCTCGGAGCTGGCATATCCTCTGATACTGCTGTTAGGAAGAAAGTTCGATCTTGATTTTTAGACAGTAAGGTGAGGTTCAAACCCTATGAACTGAATCAATCACTCAAACATTAGCCAAGTGAAGAGAAACAACATCAACAAAAGCTACATGCTAGGAAATAACTAGGGGCTTGATTCAAAACAAACTTGACAGGAAAGCATTCAAGTGCTCACTTATGGAATAAACTTCAAGTGACGCTTCACTTGTGGAGGGCACACTGGCAGAGTAAGCTCTAGAAAAGGCAAATCTCATCCATCCCTCCCTGTTTAATCACCTTCAATTTCTCCCCCTGCCTTCAAGACGAGTGCAAGCTTCTCAGAGTAACTCAGGAGACCTTCTCTTCTCTGAGTGGATGGAGGCCTGCCTCTAACCTCAGCTTCTGATGGTCCGGTCACTATCCTGACAGTCCTTCAGTGTCCTCCGCTATTAAGCAGGGTGAACCCTAATTACCTACCCCACAGAGTTGGTATAAGAGTTAAGGCGCACTGTCTACACTCCAGCCACACCAAGTGTCTTGAACCCACCGTATTTCTTCGGGCCTTCATGTTCTTGTTCATGGCCTCTGCCTAGAATTCCTTTTCTCCGCCTTGAGTACCTCTGAATGTTACTTTTTGGTTATTCAGTAGGACCCACCTCAAATGCCACCTCCTCTGGGAAGCTCTCCTGACCTATCCCTGTGTCTCACAATACCCGCACACGGTCTGAAGCATCGCCCTCCGTCAGTGCTCCTGTCACACTGAATACCCGCTACGTCTTTACAACCTGTCTCTTCTGTTAGAGAGCATGGACCACCCCTGTTTGCCTGTAACCAGCTGAGCGTCCAGCACAAAGCAGGCCCTCAAAATCTACTCGCTGGATGGACAAACAAATACAGGAGGGGGGTTGGGGGGGGGGACAGACAAACCACAGACCATCACTGGTGATGGCCGTGAACCGCAGGCCCCACACTCAGCATCCCATGTTGACACTGTTGACTTGGCCTTCAACATAAAGAAAAGCCACTGGAGGCAAAATATGAGATCAGCATTTCCCAATCTTTAGTCATCTGAAAAGCATATTTAAGGGAAGTCCCTGACGGTCCAGTAGTTAGGACTCCAAGGTTTCGTTGCCGAGGGTGCTGATTCAATCCCTGCTCAAGGAACTAAGATCCCACAAGCTGCATAGCACAGCCAAAAACAAAAAGATAGATGAAAACAAAGAAAGGAAAGCATCTTCAAGATGCTGTCTCATCTTGGCACACTGCCTATTATATCAGTTGTTTTCTTAAACTAACCTCCACTTTTTCCCCTTCAGAAGATGTATTTCAAAAGAAAACTGCATATTAATAGCACATAAGAAAACCAGTATCACTTGCCATATGAAGGTAACCAGAAGAAGGAATATAATAAAAATGAAATATTGTCAAATCCTACCTAGATATTATAGCATGCCTGAAAGTGAAAGTTGCTTAGTGGTGTCCGACTCTTTACCATCTATGGAATTCTCCAGGCCAGAATACTGGAATGGGTAGCCTATCGCTTCTCGAGCAGATCTTCCCGACCCAGGAATCGAACCGGGGTCTCCTGCATTGCAGGCTGATTCTTTACCAGCTGAGCTACCAGGGAAGCCCTGGTATAGCTGAGGCTTTATTTAAAAAAAAAAAAAAAAAAAAGGCATACTGGCAAGTGTTAAGAAATAGATGTTGCTGCTGTCCAGTCACTAAGTCATGTCTGACTCTTCTGTGAACCCATGGACTGTAGCCTGCCAGGCTCCTCTGTTCATGGGATTTCCCAGGCAAGGATACTGGAGCCACTTCTTTCTCCAGGGGACCTTCTGACCCAGAGATCGAACCTGCACCTCCTGCACTGGCAGGCAGACTCTTTACCACTGAGCCGCCAGGGAAGCCGAGAGGTAGACGTTAGAGGTGTATTAAAACTGCACAGGCCTTCTCCTGAGCCACGACAAAGGAAATGGAGAAGGGTTAAAGAGAAAAAGAAAGAACACCGTCTTCATTCACTAATTCAATCTTACTGCAATGGGGCTGCCGAAAATCACCTCACACACCAAGAACACTCTGCTAGAATAATCCAGACTTCCAGGCCGAGGAAAGCCTCACCAATACCCAGTGTGTGCTGGCTGGCCATCTACTCGGCTCAGCCTCTGGCTTCCTTCATCCTGCATTAAGTTGCCAACCATCTCTTCCACGCGGATATGAGATTTAAACAGAACACAAGCTGAGACAGTTTGGGCCCTGGAGTCTTCCAGAAACGACAGGCCCAGGGGCCCTGTGTCCCTGGCTTTGCCGGGTGCTGACTGCCGGCGGCTGGCAGCTGTCATGGATTAGAACTGAGTAACTGTGTGTCTCCCACTCCAGCCCTGCTCCCTCCTCAGACCCCATCAGCCCATTCTCAACTATGCCTGGGGCCCACTTGCCTGAACATAACTCATCTCTCACAGTGGATGGCTGCCATCCCTCTAGAGTGAGGCTGAAAATAAAAAGAACTCAGAAGTTGTGTTTCTGCGCTCTGCCAGCAGAGGCTCCCCCACTGCTGAGATTATCAGCTCCCACCCGCTAAGGGTGCTTCCTCCCCGGCACCAGGCTGGGGGAAGGGGCAGGGGAATATCCCACAAGCCCTGCCCCCAGGAGGTTACAATCCATTCCAAGCTGATCTTCCATGAACTCCCTCTCAGCCACTGCCAAGGTCACCAAAAGCTGTGAATGACCTGCAGCTGACTGTCACCTTTTCTGTCCCCACTATCCACTGGGCCAGGCAGGATGTCAGTGATAAGGCATGGGACAGGCGGCTAAAAGGATAGTACCAAACTAGAGAGAAGTTCGTGTGCAACCAACAAGGACAAAAAACATGACTATAAAGCTGGGGCACAGGCTGCAAGATACCCCATTTTCCTAAGCAATACAACCAAAAGGTTTGCACCCAAGGATGAACCCTCCAAAAGGACCAGAGGCTAGCTACAGTCACCTGATTACATGAGCCAAAGCTGATCAACAAAGGGATTATATCAAATGGTTAAGCCTTTATAAAAGCCATGAGAAAGATAATCCCCTGATCCACACTATACATTAGGAGTGCCCAGCAGCACACCCAGTGTGGACAAACAGGTGTTCACAGGGCAGCACCATCCCTAACATGTATGGCTGTTGGACATCCATGCTCCCCATACCTGGACCCCTGCCAGTCTCCAGGCCAAAAGCCAGTAGCAGCATCCCCAGGCTCTGTGATGATCGAAAGAGACCCCCTGAAACACTCCCTCACAGACTTCCAAAGCCCTCTGATTAAAGACCACTGAAACTGGCT